GAAGCCATGGCACGATATTCGACCTCAGCTGAAGAACAAGCCAACGTAGCTTGTTTCTTGGTTTTCCAAGAAATCGGGGAACCACCAAGTTGTATGAACCAACCTGTGAGAGAGCGACGTTTCACCGGATCTGCACCATAATCCGAGTCACACCATGCCGTCAGTTGAAGAGGAGTTGAGGATCGGAGCAAAATCCCTTGACCCGGACTCTTCTTCAAATAGCGAACCACGCGAAGAGCTGCATCCCAGTGAGCCCGACGAGGAGTTTGCATGAATTGAGATAAAAATTGAATGCAGTAGCCAAGATCCGGACGTGTGTTCACGAGATAGATGAGACGACCAATCAGCCGACGGTAGGGTTCGGCATCATCGAGAAGAGGGCTGTCATCAGAAGCAAGCTTATGATTCTGGTCAAGTGGGAATGCCGCAGGCTTAGCGCCGAGCAGTCCAATATCGGATATAATGTCAAGGGTGTACTTTCGTTGACAAAGGTAAATACCCGAAGAATTCCGAGCCACCTCAATGCCAAGCAAGTATCTCAAAGATCCCAAATCCTTCATGTGAAAACACGCAGCCATATAGTCCTTGAAGCGTTGAATAAGATCCAACGACGTACCAGTCACGATCAAATCATCGACATATACCAGGACATTGAGCCGAACGGAACCCTTCAAATATGAGAAAAGAGAGTAGTCGGCATACGATCGCTTAAAGCCAAAATTGTATAATGCACGTTCAAGTTTATGAAACCAACAACGCGGAGCCTGTTTAAGTCCATACAAGGACTTGCGAAGGCGACAAACCCTGCCATCCGTGGAACTAAGTCCTGGAGGAGGCTTCATATAAACTTCCTCCGAAAGATCACCATGCAAAAATGCATTATGTACGTCCATTTGGTGAACCTCCCAATGACGAGCCGCAGCGACCGCAAGGAAAGTACGGACGGTAGTCATCTTAGCTACCGGAGCGAAGGTTTCCGAGTAATCAACACCTTCAACCTGCTTGTTCCCCAAGATAACCAAACGCGCTTTATAACGTTCAACCGAACCATCAGAGCGATACTTAATCTTATAAATCCACTTACAGCCGATAGCCTTCTTGCCGGGAGGTAAAGATTCCAGAGTCCATGTACCATTTCGATGAAGAGCATCAAGTTCCTGTTTCATGGCATGTCTCCAACGAATATCTTTCACGGCCGTTATAAACGAAGTAGGTTCCGCACCCAGAGTAACAGCAGCAAGAAACACGCGATATGCCGAAGATAGACGAGTGGAAGCCAAATAATGGGACATGGGATACAAAGTGCCAGATGCGGACGTACGACACGTCGAAGTGGAAGACGGATCGACAACGTGGACAGTGTTCAACACAAAATCGCGAAGACGAGCAGGTTGATGCCTAGTACGAGTGCCACGACGAAGAGAGATAATCGGCGAATCGGGGTTTGCCATGGAACCCGAACCCCCCCCCTGTCTGCATGCTCGACAGAACACGAGACAGAAGAACGAGGATCACAAGAGACTCGTCTACTAGACAAAGCAACATCCTGAGGAGAGTGGTGAGATGAGATAGCTGGAGAATCATCCAAGGACACGTCCACCGCTACAGAACCGAAAGGAGAAGCAGAGGAAATGCCCGGCGAAGACGAGTACGGGAATTGATCCTCACAAAACACCACATCACGAGAGACAAAGAACAAGCCACGATCCACATCAAATAAACGCCAACCTTTCTTACCATAAGGATATCCAACAAAAATACATTTCGTACTTCGACTCGCAAACTTGTCTCCACGATGACTTTGTGCATGAGCATAACATAGGCAACCGACCACACGAAGATGAGATAAATCGCATGGACGTCCATGAAGCATCTCGTAAGGCGTCTTGCCATGAAGAGAAGTAGAAGGAGTGCGATTAATTAAATATGCTGCTGTAAGGATACAATCCCCCCAAAACTCGATTGGGAGAGAAGACTGAAAACGAAGCGCTCGTGCCACATTAAGAATGTGACGATGTTTGCGTTCCACACGACCATTCTGCTGCGGAGTTCCTACACAGGAAGTCTCATGAATAATACCGAGTTGTTGGAAGTAAGAGGACAAACCCAAGAACTCAGAACCGTTATCACTACGTACACAGCGTACTTGTACGTGAAATTGCCTTTCAACCATGGCAATAAACGAACAAAGATAGTGAGATGCCTCAGATTTGGCCTTCAACAGATATAGCCAAACGGATCGCGAAAAATCATCGACCACGGTCAGAAAATATCTGGCACCGGAATGTGATGGAGTGCTGTACGGACCCCAAATATCACAATGAACATGTTGAAAAATCTGATATGTTTTATTACTGCTCAAAGGAAACGAATCACGAGTTTGTTTGGCTCGGAGACATACTTCACAAGCCTTATTAGAAGAACAATCAATACTGGAAACATCAAAACCAGAAACTAACGAAGTAACACGAGAAGATGGATGACCCAAACGACGGTGCCACAACTCAAATGCTGTCGTATTTTTGATGTGAAACGCCGCAGTCTTCATCAATCCTCGAAGAACATAGAGTCCATTACACTGCTCACCCACTCCAATCGGCATCCTCGAATGCCGCTCCTGAATGACACAGAGCTGATGAGTAAACTGAACAACATAATCTGAGTCGGTAAGCAATTGTGCCACAGATATCAAATTGCAAGTCAATCCAGGAACAAAAAAAACGTCATGTATCGAAAACTGATCCGTTAACCATACAGTCCCTTTTTGGACCGACACAACATGGTTGCCATCCGGGAGTCCAACATCACATGTAGGCATAGAAGTAATATCCGAAATCGAGAATCCATGTGGCTGAAGAGTGCGTACCTGAGGTAGTTTCGGTTGCACCAACACGCGACGCATTCAAGAGCTCTACCAATGTCTTCCATTGGTCCGGAGTAATGCCAGAGAGGCTGATACTGTTCGGATCAGTCGGAGGAGGATTCGACTTGGACTGAGACACAGGCGCAGAAGGTTGTGCCGCATTGGCACGAACACTATGACCGCGTCCCCGACTGGTGTTACGACCTCCACGACCCCGTGCGCCCTTTCCAGCTTTGGTAGAACGCTCGGACCACCAATCTGGAAATCCATGAATCTCAAAACATGTTTCCACAGCATGGCCACTACGACCACAATGAGTGCAAGTCAGTGATTTGTCCTTTTGAGTCAGAACGAGGACGAGACCTGACATCAGACTGAACCGACAATGCCATAATATCTGATCGGTCGTCCTTAGCTCGGACAGCAGCACGTTTTGATTCCTCTTGTTGCACCGTGGAATAAACACTCGCGAGAGACGGAAGCGGTGTTTGTGATAACAAACTCGAACAGACGGTACCAAAAATAGAATCATCAAGTCCAAGTAGAAACTGATGAATTTTATCTTCTTCCCGCTGTTTAAACAATGTCTCAGAAAGCCGACATGAACACCCACCACAAGTGCACATCGGAATCTTCTCGTACAAGGTAATTTCGTCCCAAAGTTTTCTCAGTTTACCGAAATAAGTAGCAACTGACATACCATGTTGGCGACAACTGGAGAGTTCAGATTTGAGAAACTGCATTCGAGCTCCGTTTGACGCCGAGAATTGAGTCGCCAACTCATTCCATAAGTCTGCAGCAACTTCTGTACTTGGTATGTTCGGTCGAAGAGAAGAATCGATCGTATTCCGGATCCAAGAGACAATCAGAGAGTTTATAGTCCACCAATCATCCAAATCCTCAGATTCCAAAGATGGTCGGGGAATTGAACCATCCACAAAACCAAACTTTTTCCTCGAACGTAAAGCTGTCCGAACATCACGAGACCAATCACTGTAGTTGTGCTCCTTCAACAGCGTGTGAGAGATCAGATTGCCGGGATTATCGTTGGCAGTAATGTCATACGGAGAAATCGTGCGACGTTGCACGAGAACCGGAGTCGACTGGGGCTGTTCCGGGGACTCGTTACGGAGGCTGCAGATTCGCCAGACATGCTGAACACCGAGCAAGCAACAAAAAACAAAGAAAAAACCAAGAACAAAAACCCTAAACCTGGGTCTGCTCTGATACCATGTCACGGCATCAACTTGGAAAACTTTCTCCCCTGTTTTATTCAATTAACATCTGTATTTATACACATATGAAACCCTAATGCTGAAATTAGACAAAGACTAATATGCCCTTGTACCTACACTAATACGATCCAAAGTTTACGACGTTAGAAAACCCGATTACGTCCTTATATTTTTTATTTACCCTTTTACCAAAAAAAAGAGTTTACGACGTTAGCCGTTTTTCCGGGACGAGGATATGATGAAGTAAGATTTATTGATTCATAATTTTTTTTGGCCCGCCTGAATGTTTTTGCTCTCAGGGAGGGGATAATTTCTGTTTAGTAAGGGAAATTTCCGTATAAATAAGAATATATCAATTTATAAAATTCTCCATATTTCTATAACTAATTAATTCAATAAAAAATGGTAAGGATTGATGATCTGGTGGTTGTGAATCTTGTGATGACGTGTGCAAACTATTTTTTTACCACATCATCATTTTTGTTTGAAAGGGTAGATATTACTAGGTTTTCGGAGAATTTTTTAAAAATTTAAAATTTGATAGATTAATCACATCAAATATCGGATTTAATTGATAAATAAAAAAGTAGATAATTTTTTCGTTGAGTATATGATTTTTTTATTTTTGCGATTTTCTCTATTTTTTTATAACAAATTAAGCGTATTTATATGGAATTTTTCAATTTTTAAATAATCATAATTAGATAATCAGATGCATTTCGTATTAAGATTTAAAGTATGGAGTGGAGGCAGCGAGACGAAGAAGAGCTAGCAGGTTAAGTGAATCTGATTTAAAAATAAAATAGTGGGCGCAGGACAGATTCCAGTAATGGCAGTGCAATTCTTTTTTTTTTTTTAAATTTATTTATTTATGATTAATTTTAATTTTTTTTTTTAAAAAGGAGGAAAAAATTCACAGAAAGGAGGCTACACTTTCAGAGAGAGAAATTGATTCGTCGTGGGTGATCCATGCCGAAGATGAAGCATCTTCTCCGGAAGCTGCACATGGGCAGCGCAATTGGCGACCATCACAGGTTGGACGAGCCAAGTCGGCCGGTGATCGCTCCGAGTCCGATTCCAACCCCTAGTCCTATCCCCGCGTCCACTTCGTCGGTTTCTTCCTCTGGTTCGGCAGCAATGCAGCGACTGACGGAAGCGGAACCACCGGTGACTCGTGATCGGACGGCCGTGAACGGTGTGGATTTCAATATGATGGAGGAGGAGTTCCAGGTCCAGTTAGCTATGGCGATTAGTGTGTCTAATCCTGATTCGCGGGAAAATGCGGACACGGCTGAGATCGATGCTGCTAAGCGGATTAGTCTCGGGGTTCCGGCTCCGCTCGCCGACTCGGATTCCGTCGTTGATTTTCTCTCGCTTCGCTACTGGGTACAGCGTGTATTTTCTTATGCTTAGATTTTTTGTTTTTGAGTTTCATTTCTTTGTACTAGGGTTTAGGGGTTTGATTCTGTGATTCCGTGGTTCGGAGAAATTAGGATCTTGCTATATAAATCACGGCTACTGCTTGAACTACTATTTTGGTTCAATCAGCTACTGAATTGGAGTTACTGGGAGTATTCCTGATTGAGGGGATTTCGCAAAAGTTTCGATTTCAGGTGTCTACGTTTGTTCAATTATGTATCTGTTACCATGCAGATCATTTTCTTCCTTGATACGATGATGGAGCTCTTCAGCTGATTGCAGGGGTTGTTCTTACTTTCAGGGACATAAGGCTATCAATTACGACGAGAAAGTCAAGGATGGATTTTACGATGTCTACGGGATTACCTCGAATTCCCTTTCATTAGGGAGGATGCCACTATTGGTGGATCTTCAAGCGAAATCAATTTCAGAACATGTTGATTATGAGGTCATTTTGGTAAACCGATTGGTTGACCCTGAATTACGAGAGCTTGAGAGAAGGGCATATGCCGTATCTTTGGAATGCCTAGATTTTGCGCGTGGCCTGGTTTCAAGTGATTTGATCCAAAACATCGCAAGTATGGTTGTAGAGAAAATGGGTGGTCCAGTTGAGAATGCTGATGAAATGGTGAGAAGGTGGACACTCACAAGTTATGAACTGAGGAATTCTTTGAACAGTATTATTCTTCCGCTTGGGAGCCTTGATGTTGGTCTTGCACGTCACAGGGCTTTGCTTTTCAAGGTTGTTTTTAAGTCTTTCACATGTTTCAGATTTTTACCTTCTTGGGAGTGGTTATATTTTATCGCTTCTCTACTGGCACCAGAACCCTTGATTCTTTTGTGTTCTTCAATTCTATTTTTTTTTAATCGTTCTTTCTTTCACCATTAGATGATGCCAGATTGATACTAAGTACACCATCCTTTTTATTTGTTAATAGGTGCTTGCTGATGGGATTAACCTCCCCTGCATGCTGGTAAAGGGCAGCTACTATACTGGAATTGATGACGGGGCTGTGAACTTGATTAAGCTAGGCAATGGAAGGTATTCTTTGATAAATGGCAATTGGCTGCTTCTTAATATTTTGGGTTGAGTCTGATCTTCTTTGATGATAGTTAATTTTTGCAGTGATCTAATTCATTCTTCCAATGCAGTGAATACATTATCGATTTGATGGGTGCTCCAGGTGCTTTAATTCCTACCGAGGTTCCCAGCAGTTATCGTCCAATTTCTTGCCCTGATTCAAGAGTATTTTCTGATTCTCTGAACACATTGGAAACTTCACGTTCGGTTCTTGACAACGAAACTGGGACTGCAGTAATTTCGGTTCCCGAAACAAAATATCCTGGTTGTGATGCAGGCACAGATTTTCACTCTGGTTATCATAAAGATAACAATGACAAATATGCTGTTGAGAAACATCAAACTGAGAGGTTTGAGCATGACTTTGGAAAGCTAATGCAAACACAACAGAGATCTGGTGAAAATATGCCTGTAGTTTCCGGGAAACCAACATCAGCACAGAAAGTTAAAGTTAAGAATATCTCAAAGTATGTCATAAGTGCTGCAAAGAACCCTGAATTTGCACAGAAATTGCACGCTGTCTTGCTAGAGAGTGGTGCATCGCCTCCTCCACATTTGCTTATGGATATCAATCCAAAAAATCTGAGGGAACAGAAACAGCATCAAGAAAGTAGTAGTTGTATGGTTTCTGATGTTCACTGCAACCTGGAAAAGGTATGTTCAGGATCTGCATCTTCTAGGTTATGTTCTTCTGGATTTGAATATTTCATCATTTCCATCTGTGCTGAATAGATAGAGGAGCTGGCAATTGAACAACTGAGAGAATCTGAAACAGGCCAAAATTCAGATCTATGTACCTCAGGTGAGGGATAGACAAATATGAAATATGGATCAAATAGTCAATAAGTTGATGTTTAGAAGAATATTGGACTGTCTGGTACCTGTTGATGCCTTTAGAGTTGGAAAACATATTGATGGACCTCTCACTTACAGCAGCTGAGTCCTACCAAGCAGTGGAGGTTCATTGCTCAACAAAGAGAAACTTTGATGTCAATAATTTTGGTGAAGTAACTGCCATTGAAACAATGGAGACCAAGTCTGCTGCTGGAGAGACTAGTCTATGCAACAGTCATGATCAAGGAATTAATCCATTGCTCGGTGATGCTGCAAAATGGGAAATTCTGTGGGAAGATCTAAGAATTGGCGAACGCATTGGTATTGGTAAGATTTGGATTGCATTAAATATTAGCTGTTCTAGAAGTATATGGGCTATATTGTGAACTCAAGGGGTATCTTAGAGAAAAATTCTGGATGAAGTTTTGTTCAAACTTGTTATTCCGGTTTTCCCTTGCATCGTGACTCGTGAATGAGATCTGGATATTCAAGATCTTCAGTTCGATGCTATTATATTGAATGAAGAAATCTGACCCTCCCATTTTTGTTATCACTCTGGAATGTTGCAGGCTCATACGGAGAGGTTTACCATGCAGAGTGGAATGGAACTGTAAGTTATGTTCTGGTGTGACATTCTACGTATTAGGTTTCTAAAATCTTACTCACATGTCCTCCAGATGAAAGAGGATTTGCTAGTCACTAAGGGAATTGTTTCGCTGATTTTGGTCGGTCTTTGCAGGAAGTTGCTGTTAAGAAGTTTCTGGACCAAGATTTCTCTGGTGATGCATTGACACAATTTAAATCTGAGGTAACAACAGTTCCCTTAATCATAGGCATCTTTTATTTTGTGTCCAGGGCCCGTTGTTCTTTCTACTCACTGGGAAAGATATTGTTTTCTTTTTTGTGTTATGCATAGGTTGAAATAATGTTGAGATTACGGCATCCAAATATTGTTCTTTTCATGGGAGCAGTTACCCGTTTGCCACATTTCTCTATTCTGACAGAGTTTCTACCCAGGTTGCTCCTCATATTCCTCTTTTACAGCTCGAGAAGGGGCAATTAGTTCAGTTTGTCTCTTCTATTAAGTGGCCTTTTTGTTCAAATCATTGTATCATCTCTCATTGATAATTTAATTTCTCGAAACAAAATGAGAGAAGAATATGTAATGCAATGCAGGGGAAGTTTGTACAGATTACTCCATCGCCCTAATACTCACCTTGCTGAGAAGAGGCGTATGCGTATGGCTCTTGATGTGGTATGTAAGATATGTAACGCATGAGTTGGTTAAACTGCTTTTTCTTTTTGCCCAAATCAAACTCTTAAGACCCAAATTTTGTTACGGTTTTGTCTATCGATTTGCAGGCAAAGGGGTTGAATTACTTGCACACAAGCCATCCGATCATTGTACATAGAGATTTGAAATCTCCAAACCTTCTTGTTGATAAAAATTGGGTTGTGAAGGTTTGCGATTTTGGATTGTCACGCATGAAGCACCACACTTTCTTGTCTTCAAAGTCAACCGCAGGAACGGTTAGTTTTATTTAGAACAGCAGTGTTCTAAGTTGACTGTGATTATGTGATATCTTTAAGGTTAAAGAAATTTGCTTTTTGGCCATTGCAGCCTGAGTGGATGGCTCCAGAAGTATTGAGAAACGAACCCGCAAGCGAGAAGTGAGCAAATTCGAGACTCGTCATCTGGAATTTGTTAAATCTTGTGTATTCTCTGTTTGATAATCAACTGGTGTTTTTGAGCAGATGCGATGTGTACAGTTTTGGTGTTATATTGTGGGAGCTAGCTACTAGACATATCCCGTGGAAAGGTCTGAACCCGATGCAGGTCGTTGGGGCTGTCGGGTTTCAAAATCGGCGTCCTGAAATCCCAGAACACATTGATCCAACCACTGCACAGATCATACGTGAATGTTGGCAAACGTAAGTCCATTTTCTACTTGTATGCTCAAATCCTTCTAGGATAGTAGGGGTGGACACGGGTCATGTACCCGAAGTTTTTGGAGTTCCCGGTCTAGGCCTGTGTCCACGGGTTTCATGGCCAAAGTATATCAGCCTTGGCTTTCTGAGACTCGAGTTCTGCGAAAACCTGCAAACATTTGTTGACCCGAATTCACAGTAAGGGGTATGATGATAATTTTTCACAAAATAGAATGGATATTTTGTAATTACCCTAAATACCAGGGGTATGCATGTCGGAGGGTATATGCGAGTAACTCATCACGGGACGACAAAACCCGAACCCAAACCTGCTGTCAGATTTCCTCGTCTCGTCCAACTCGTGCTCAATCTCGTTCGCTACTGAGTAGGGGTGGACATTTTTATCCGAGACCATGAGTTTTCGGATATCTTGTCTCACGGGTACCCAATTTTGACTACTCAGGAAGCAGTGAGACAATCGTCGGGTTTGGGAGACCAGAAACCCAGAAGACGGGTTCAGGTTCGGGTTCTATTATTTGTTGACGGTTATCTCGTATGTATTTGGATATTTAGAAAATGACTATAATACCCCTGATACTTGTTCCAGTACAATCTACTTTCCAGCTCAGCTCATCAAAAGGTGTGGTCTTTTGTGCAGGGAGCCACATTTGCGGCCTTCATTCACACAGCTGATGCACCGGCTGAAGCGGCTGAAGCGGCTGACGATGGAAACCTCCGGAGAAAGCCCAGGAAGTTCGGTACAACAGTAGTCACCCAAGTTTCTCATTCTCGGTCCGGTTCAAAGAGCCGACAACTGGGGAAAGCCAACTCCGGGAAGGTTTTTTTTTAAAAAAAAAAATCAAAAGCAGAATACCAATTTCCCCCTCTGTTGTCGATTTAAGGGTAAGATAAGTTAGGGAAAATGAGGGGGTTAAGGGGTGAAAGCTGTTGAGTTCATTCGAAGTGGGAGCTCAACTTATACAGAGAAAGCCCTTGTAAACCCTTTTGTAACTATTGCTCCTACTGTGTAGGCAATATTGTTACTACATGGTAAAAAAAAAGACAAGAAAAGAAGAGGAATAAAAAGGAAAAGAAGAAAGAGAGAGAGAGAGCTTAAGTTTATTGTTGAATTGTGTTTTTGGGTTTAGGTTGTTTTTTTTTTAAAAAAATCGTATATTAATATATAAATTTTAAAGAAATGAGCTTGTAACATATTCTAGATAAATAAATAACCATATTTTTTTTTTTTTTTAAATAAAACTTTCTTAATTTTTATATTAAAATCTAACTTTTTTAACAACTTCGAGAGTAAACTTTCTTAACTTTTATATTAAAATCTAAAATTTTTAGAAACTCCAAAAGTCATCTAAAAGTTTACAATTTAATTTTTTTTATTGTTTTTAAAGCTTTAAGAGTTTAATATAGGAGTCAGTTATTTTAATATACTAAAATTTTAAAATTCGTGTATATATATATATATATATTAGTTTTTTTTTATAAATTGGTATACTAATAAGTCATTTTTCTTTATTTTTAATATTTGGCTGTAGGTAAAAGATTTTCCGTAAAATCGGATAAGTGTAAAATATGCGGAGATAACGACGACCACAAATCCATCTCTTAATTATTGCATAACACAAAAAAGAGAAAAATATTATAAATTATATAATTTTGGAGGAATTACTATAAAATCGAAATTAATGGAAAACAGAATTTATGTGGAAGAAACTAAATAAATTTGGAACTAAAACTTGTCATTGTATATGTATATACAAAAAAAGGATTATTTGTTTGGATATTCTTTGTATTATGTATGACATTAATATCTTAAAATATATTAGTATAGCATTTAATATGTAATGATTATATTGTGTTTATAGTGTCAGCAATTAATGGAATAATATATATATATATATATATATATATATATATTTATCCGGTTTGAACAAGTTGAGATTGCATCGAAATATACTTGTGTCACATTTGAATATGTTGGAATTGTGTTGCAATGTATTGGTATTGAATTTGAATATATTGGGATTAGTTCAAAATAAGTTGGAGTTGTGTCGGAATATATTGACATTATGTTTGAAAATGCTGGAGTTGCGTTGAAATATGTTGGGTTTTGTATGAATTTTGGGTAATAATGAAATTAACAAATGATTTTTAGTTATATATTGATTAACGCAAAGTAATTATAAATTATTATGGAATCCAACTATATGCAAACAAATGTCCACAATTGAAAAGTGTTTTACACTAATCTGATTGTGTATTGGAAACTCTATTTATTATTAAATATACTGTCGTCATAAGAAGAACTTCTTTGCGTGAAAATTCATTGTATTCAACTTTTTCAGAATATATTATTAGTTTTTCCAATTATAATATTTTCATTTAAAATATGTCTCTAATAATCTATTATTGGGGAGAGAAATTCCGACTTTCCGCTGCAAGTTCATTGAACTTGAGGTTTACTTTATTATTCGCTCGCCATTAAAGTCCTTCCTTCCCCCCTGTCTCCTCAAGAATCATCATCATTTCTTCTTCTTCTTCTTCTCCTCCTCCTCCTGTGTAAGTCATCGTCCTTTTTTGCCCTATCTTATAGGGTTTCGAAAATTCCCTGCGTTTCTTCACGCGTTCATGAATCCGAGTCTTCGAGGCCTATACGACGCCGATTTCGCCCTGGTGGTCTTCATCTCCTTCTTCGTCCTTTTCGCTCGAATTTTTGCTCTCTTCGGAGGGTTTGGTTTTCCGACGGGGTTCGAGCTTTACCCATGTCCGGCCTCTTCAGATTCAGTGGTATGTTTACCAAAGCCTTTACATTTTTGGCTTTAGTTTTGGCGTTTCCTTTTGTGGTAGTTTTGTCATAGTGATCGGTTCGTCCGATTTAGAAACTCTGCAGCTACTTCCAATTCTCGTCGCATAGTCTGTGGAATCATGGAATTTTCGTCTAGTGTTGATTTATGTTCCGTCCGTCCTTGTATCTATTTAGGCGGTGGGTTTGCGCAGTTAAAGGGTATTGCAAATTTGCTCACCTCGATTAATGTATTACGATTCGTAGATTCGAGTTTACAAATCTGAAACTATGGTGGTTAGTACGTTTATATTTATAGGGTCTCTATCCCTCTGGTCCTTTTGGGTGATTCTGTTCGTAATTTGGATCATATTCTTTGTTCTCTTGGGTTCTGTGGCTCTGCTGACTGCTGAGTGAATTGTAGTTTGTGTCTGCAATCTCTCTGTTGAGGAACTTCAATGGATTTGAGATTCATATTGAAAATAATCAAACTTTTTGTTGTTGTCGTTGTTGTTGTAGGTGATGAAGACTTTTTCCCTGGAGGATCGTTGTATCTATCCCCGGGAAGCCAAATCGATGTATATTACCCAGCACATAAGCGATCAAGGATCGCGGCCCCGGCTATTTTCAGTGGATTCGAGCAGAATCAAGTTTCAATAGATGTCTTGCCAGACGAGTGCCTTTTCGAGATCTTCAGATGCTTGCCCTCTGGACAAGAGAGGAGTGCCTGTGCTTGCGTGTCCAAGCGTTGGCTTGGCCTTCTGAGTAATATCCGTGGGGAGGAAGTGAGTGGTTCGGAAGACAAATCTCAAAAAGTAGATGATGAAGGGCATTTGTCAAGAAGCTTGGAAGGGAAGAAAGCCACAGACTTAAAGCTCGCTGCCATTTCTGTTGGAACAGCTAGTCATGGTGGACTGGGGAAGCTTTCGATCCATGGGAGTGATTTTTCCAGCAAAGTGACGGATGTTGGCCTTCGAGCAATTGCATGTGGTTGCCCGTCTCTTAGGGTTCTTTCCTTGTGGAACTTGCCTTCAGTTGGTGATTCTGGTCTATATGAAATTGCACAGTCATGTCCGGCGCTTGAAAAACTTGACCTTTCGCGCTGTCCCGGGATAACTGACAAGGGTTTGGCTGCAATAGCTGACAACTGCCCGAATTTGATTGACTTGACGATTGACTCATGTTCAGGCCTCGGAAACGAGGGATTGAAGGCTATTGCTCGATGCTGTACCAATCTCAGGTCTATCTCTATCAGGAACTGCTCACAGATTGGAGATCAAGGAGTTGCATTCCTCTTGGCCCAAGCTGCTGGTTCTTTGAACAAAGTTAAGCTTCAGATGCTGAACATAACCGATCTGTCTCTTGCAGTACTTGGGCACTATGGAACATTAGTTGCTGATCTCGTGCTTAGCGGTCTTCGAGGTGTCAGTGAGAAAGGTTTTTGGGTCATGGGAAATGGAAAAGGGCTTAAAAAATTGAAGTCTCTCTCGGTTATGTCATGCCTTGGCATGACAGATGGAGCCCTTGAAGCCGTGGGAAGTGGTTGCCCTGATCTGAAGCAAGTTTATTTGAGCAAATGCTTGCTTGTCTCTGGAAAAGGGCTCGTCTCTCTAGCCAAATCCGCACTGTCATTAGAAAGTTTGAAACTTGAAGAGTGCCACAGGATCAACCAGTTTGGTTTTTTCGGATTTCTTGTGAACTGTGGCCTAAAGTTGAAAGCTTTTTCGGTGGTTAACTGTCTAGGCATAAGAGACATTAACCCGGGATCACCCCTGCCATCAACCTATTGCAGCTCCTTGCGCTCACTTTCAATCCACTGCTGTCCTGGGTTTGGCGACTCAAGCCTCACTCTCTTGGGCAAGTTCTGTCATCAGCTTCAGGAGGTTGAGCTCTGCGGGCTAAGTGGAGTTACAGATGTTGGCCTTCTCGGGCTGCTTCAGTACAACAGTGCCGGTCTGTTGAAGGTTAATCTGAGCGGCTGCATCAACATCACTGACAATGCAGTCTTGACCATTGTCACCCGACATGGCTGCACGCTTGAGTCACTGAACCTTGACACCTGCAAAAATATCACAGACACAAGCCTGATTGCAGTTTCCAAGAACTGCTACTCAATCAATGACCTCGATGTGTCGAATTCCCGTGTCTCAGATGTCGGTATCGAAGCCTTGGCATCTTCTCCCAACCATCTGAATCTTCAGATCTTTTCCATCGGTGGCTGCTCGGCTGTTACAGACAAGAGCCTGGCCTCCCTACAGAAACTGGGTCACACCCTTTTGGGATTAAGCATCCGACATTGCAGCAAAATCAGCAGCAGCGCCATCGATGCTCTTCTAGAACAACTGTGGAGGTGCGATATACTTTACTGAAGCCATAAAAATCTCAGGAACCCTAGTGTCACCTGGAACTCGGTTTCTTTTTCCAGGAGGCAGCAGCTGTTTTTTAAAACAATTTTTGCAGGTTCCCATCTAAACATGGGTATCTGTTTCAACGGCTGCTTGCCATTCCTGGAGGTCCTGTTACCGAGTTTTCTGGGCTCTAGGGTCCAGTTGAGTTTGGAGCTCTCATCTGTGTCGTGTTCAGTTGTATTTTCGAGCTCTCATCTCTCTGTGAATGTCTTTTCGAGTGCTCTCTTGCTGTTCAGTTGAGTTTAAGTGTCCTGGTGTCTTTGTCTCTGCTATGGAGCTTTCGGCTATGGCGGTGTAACATCTTAGTTCCGCCATGAGAGCTCTTCAAGTTTTTCTCTAGGGAAGGTCTTTCTTTTCCCTCTTTTCCGAGGCACTGTTGGTCTGTTCATATGCATGTAATAGAATTTGTTCAGTTAAGTAATATAGTTGTTGTATGCCTGAATCTCGTGATGTTCGATTTAGCAATTCAATGTATATGGAAACATATAACGTGTTTATGATATTAAATCAGGCGTAGGTATATGGGCGGATACAGAGATCACTCCACGTTTCACGATAATCCTTGGATTAGTGTTAAAATCTCATGGTAATTTATAATAATAAAATTAAGGGAAATAGCCAAAAATCTCTGTATTTTTATTTTATTTTAATTTTAATTTTTTATTTTTTATTTAAAAAAAAATCTGTACAATTATTTTATTATAAAAAATTCTGTATTTTTAAGTTTTTATCAACTGCCACATAATTTTTAAAATTAATAAAATAAAGAAGTAAATACAAAAATAAATAAAATATACATATACATACACACACACGTACACATACATATATACACACATACACATATATATACAATTTATAACTAATAAATATATATATCATCCAAAAAAAATTTATATTTTACAATTTAATTCTATAATTTTTTTATTTTTTAAAATATCACGTTTTTGGTAAATTCTTCTAATCAAATATTTACATCTTATCTAATCTTTTATATTAGAATAATATTCTAATATTTTTTCTATTAACACGATTTGAAAACAAATAATCTAAATCAATCTATTCTGATATTAAAAGGTTAATTTAAAATTTTGATATTTTACCGATTAAATTTTAAATCTCTTTTAAAAACTTTTATCCATTATTTTTTCTATCAAATCAAATATAAAATTAAATAAATATATAAAATAATAAATTAATAAATATGATCAAAATATAAAAAAAGTTTTGGGGGTAAGTAGCAATGAGTTGAGATTTTTTCTGCATTACATACGAGTTTTATTTATCTATGAATGTTTCAGTTTTTTGGTCAAAAAGTTAAAAGCACATGTTTTTTATAGAATAGAATAAAATAAAAGTACAGTTTTCTTTGTTATTATCCTCCATAAAATTAATTAAGATTAACATTCATTTTATTGTGTCTGTGTTAACTAAAAGAATAATACGTCTCTTTTTCATTAATGAGAAGTAATTAATTGGTACTGGTAAAGAATTAAAAGTTGGGCATAACCAAATTTTATTAAATATTATGCTAATAAGAAAACCTAATTGAAATGGATCTTTGTATAAATTTTATATATTTTTTTTTGTTAATGTTTGGGAATAAATAAAATACGGAAATTATATTTATGGCGTATTTTGTTTTAAGTAGAACTAAGAAATTTAATATTCATGGTTTTATTTCAAATTTTAAACTAAAAATCGTCTCTTTTGTGCGTCTTTGAACTTACATTTTAGCTTTTTGGCTGCAAGTCGATAGACTGATCAAATAATAGGGAATGGGCGGCTGCTGAGTTTATTCCATAGATGCGTGGTGATGCAGAACGATTCGAATCCGTACCCGAGGGGACGAGAATAGGTGAGGCACAACGGGGCATTATCAAAAATACCCTTAGTTTGCTACATTGACTTCATGGCATACCCCTCATTTGGCGGGAAAAAAAAACATCTTCAGACAATACCTTTATAAAATTGCTCTCTCCATAATACCCTTGACACCTTTTTCTAATCTCTCGATTTGCGTTTCTCTCTCTTCTTGTTTCTCTCTCCTTGCGCAGTTTCCCACCTTCTCTCCCGATAAATTCCCGCCGAAAAAAATCAGAAATTACCGGCGAAATCGTAGCGAATCTACCGGCGAAATCCTTCGATTTGCCTCGCGTTTCTCTCTCTTCTCGTTTCTCTCCCCATAAATTATCGCCGAAAAAAACCAGAATCCACCGCCGAATCTACCGGCGAAATCTCACCGATTCTGGGGCATTATCAAAAATGCCCTTATTTTGCTACATTAACTTCATGGTATACCCCTCACTTGGCGGAAAAAAAAACATCTTCAGACAATACCTTTATAAAATTGCTCTCTCCATAATACCCTCAACACCTTTTTTTAATCTCTCGATTTGCGTTTCTCTCTCTTCTTGTTTCTCTCTCCTCACGCAGTTTCCCACCTTCTCTCGCGATAAATTCCCGCCGAAAAAAACCCAGAAATTACCGGCGAAATCACAGCTAATCTACCGGCAAAGTCCTTCGATTTGCCTCGCGTTTCTCTCTCTTCTCGTTTCTCTCCCCATAAATTCTCGCCGAAAAAAACCAGAATCTACCGCCGAATCTACCGGCGAAATCTCACCGATTCTACCGTCAAAATCGCCTCAAATCACAGCAGTTCAGTGAGATCTGTATAGATCTAGGAAAAAGGCAAGTTGTCATCGCACAACCCAGTATTTATTTTCGTCACACTGGTCATTTTGGTCACTCTGGTCACTTTGGTCACTCTGGTCACTCTGGTCACACTGGTCACTTTAGTCACTCTGGTCACTCTAGTCACTTTGGTCACTCTGGTCACTCTGATCACACTGGTCACTTTGGTCACTCTGGTCACTTTGGTCACTCTGGTCACACTGGTCACTTTAGTCACTCTGGTCACTCTAGTCACTTTGGTCACTCTGGTCACTCTGGTCACACTGGTCACTCTGGTCACACTGGTCACGTTGGTCACACTGGTCACGTTGGTCACACTGGTCACATTGGTCACACTGGTCACGTTGGTCACTCTGGTCACACTGGTCATGTTGGTCACACTGGTCACGTTGGTCACACTGGTCACGTTGGTCACTCTGGTCACACTGGTCACTTTGGTCACTCTGGTCACATGTATCTTACGAATCTTATTTATTCTATACAGGCATAATGGATGCAGTCGACGAGAAAATCACAATTATTTATTTCAAGTCTGATGGAAAGTGGGTATTGAATGGTAATAGGGAATACGAATGGGTTGGAAAAGTTAAGGATGGGAAGGGAGTCATATTCATGTGTCCTCCAACTGAATTGAAATACAAACGTCTTGTTGAAGAGTTATATTCTGAAATGGAGGCTGACTAAAGTAAAACAGACTGGTCACACTGGTCACGTTGGTCACTCTGGTCACACTGGTCACTTTGGTCACTCTGGTCACTTTGGTCACTTTGGTCACTCTGGTCACACTGGTCACTTTGGTCACTCTGGTCACTTTGGTCACTCTGGTCACTCTGGTCACACTGGTCACTCTGGTCACTCTGGTCACATGTGTCTTACGAATCTTATTCTATACAGGCATAATGGATGCAGTCGACCAGAAAATCACAATTATTTATTTCAAGTCTGATACAAAGTGGGTATTGAATGGTAATAGGGAATACGAATGGGTTGGAAAAGTTAAGGATGGGAAGGGAGTCATATTCATGTGTCCTCCAACTGAATTGAAATACAAACGTCTTGTTGAAGAGTTATATTCTGAAATGGAGGCTGACCAAAGTAAAACAGACATGAAGCTGAGCTATTTGCCGGCTTTAAAAGGAGGTACTGAGCCGATTTACATATCGAATGATAAACAAGTTTTAATTTATCTCCTGGACAAAATGAATGGAGGCAGAAGCATGCTTCACGTGGAGATAGAAAAGGCGAGGTCAGAAAATGAGTTTAGAATTCCTGATTTAGCGAGTTGTGTTTGTTGGTTTAGTGCTCTATGATGTACTGTTTATGAGTTTTCTTTAGATACATTCGATGTATTGATACTTTCTATGGTTTTATGAGAGTATTTGATTCATTACATGTTCTTGCATACTAGATCTGTTATGAAATCCATGTATCATTATGAATGATACTAAACTCTCTAGTCTTGTGTCATTATGGGAATGATGACATAATAAGACTAGTATGATGTGTGATTGATGATCATAGCGATGATCATAGGTATTGGATACGATCACTGTCATAGGTATTCGTTGAAGAACGGAATACTGGATTGACCCGCATGAGATTGTCACATGGACTAGCGTCATGACTTGAATCTCATATGACGGTTCCATGATTGGATCCTAAGACCTGAGATATCTACGGAATCCAACATGAGGAGTTGCGTGCTTTGAATACGTCAAACGTCCTGCGTAACAGGAGGACTATAAAGGCGTGTATCAGGTACGAAACGAATCATGTGCTGGATTGTAGATAGTCAAGACGGGATTTGTACCTCTCGTAAAAGAGAGAGATATCGCTGGGCCCCTCGTGTGAGCGAGACTGTAGAAATGTGTGGCCGCACTATAGACGAACGTCGTCTATTTCAGACAGTCGAACTCAGTGAACGAGAAAGCAGTCGAATCAGATAAGGTGGCTTGTCCATGCCTTATATTCGACATGAACGAGAAAGCAGTCGAATCAGATAAGGTGGCTTGTCCATGCCTTATGTTCGACATATGATATCATGATACAAAAGGATCATCAACCGGAATCATCTCTGGCGTTCGTTAGATCACGAACAAACTTTATTCGAGATAGGTAGTCATAGTGTCTTGCTAGAGACCGCCTATGACTTGTATATCTGAAATAGAGATTTCGGGTTATACTGCTATATCGAATGAGCCTACAGGGTCACACATGCAGGGAAGGACAAAACGCACGAGAAAACGACGGAAAAACCAAGACGGAAGAGTCTGGAACGGACGGACCAGAAGTCCAGAACGGACGGTCCGTCGTGCCAGACCCGACGGTCCAGAACGGACGGTCCACGTGAGCAGACCGTTCATTCTACGTTCTGGAACGGACGGTCCACGTGCTTTTCTAGACCGTCTGTTCCGGGCTCCAGGTTTTCCGAAATTAAAATGAATTAGGGTTAAATCACCTTATAAGAAGGAGATTAAAAAACCCTAACTCGTAAGAGACGAAATAGAGCCGACTTTTGGCAGAAGAGAGAGAGTTTTTGGAGATCCAAAAACGAGTTCTAAGTCTCGAGATTTCTCGGTGCACATATCGAATAGAGATTCGAGTCCTAGCAGACAAGTTCCAACCGTTGGAGTCCATCCCGTAGTGTGGATACGTGTAGAGGGCGAGGTATTCTTCCTGCCTTTCGTGATCAAACGTGTTCTTCGATTGATACAGGCCCCGAATCGATTGAGGTAAGCGTTCTAACGT